AAATTTAAATAGCATTGATAACGAACCAATTTATTTACTCTTAAATCTATTTAAAAGTATCATATAGTTTACCAAACTGCATCTGCATATAATTTAATAGTTTGTCCACTATACGAAACTCTGGGTATAGTATTTAGGCACGATGTGTTTTATGGATTTTTAATTGTACACTAATATACTTATATTTAATAAATTGGAAGGTCCCGACAATTTAGAATATTGTCTGAAACATACAGAAGCTTCAATAGTAATTGTCGCTAAATCACACATCAAAAATCTGCTAAATCTTTTCGGAAAACTTTCTACCTTAAAAGTTATAATATCACTTGATTCTCTTGAAGATCCAGCCTGCAAATTTCTAAAATCTGAAGCAACTCAAAAAAACATCCTTCTTTATGAATTTTCACAAATTGAGAAGTTTGGGCAACAACATTTTAGGGAGAGTATTTCATCTCATCCTGATGATTTATTTATAATCATGTACACTTCAGGAACGACAGGTTTACCTAAAGGCGTTATGATAAGTCATGGTAATCTCTTAGCAGCGATGTGTTCTGTTTATCACGCTAACGATGAGGCTCCAGGTTCTCGAGTACTCTCTTATCTACCTTTGGCTCACATTTTTGGTGTCATGGTAGAATCCCTTGCAATAATGTATGGTATCTCAATTGGCTATTACAGTGGTGACCAAAGCAGATTGCTCGAAGATGTCCAAGTTTTGCAACCTATAGTATTTTCCAGTGTGCCTAGATTATTTAATAAACTGTATCAAATTATAAAAGCCGCTACAATTGATGCTCCTGGTGAGGAAGGAGAGATAGCAAGACAAGCATATCAGAAGAAGTTGGCGCATTTTAAAAAAACTGGGGAGTTGAAATACGAAGAATGGGACAAATTGGCAGAGAAAAAGATTTGCGGGATTCTTGGCAAAAATATTAGGACTTTGTTTTGCTCTGCGGCATCATTGAGTGAAAATGTTATGGAATTTTTAAAAATCGCCCTTGGTGTTATTTTTGTTCAAGGTTTGCAAAAATCATATTAATACGTTTTATTTTTATTTATTTATTTATTTATTTATTTGCATATTTAAAGGATATGGACAAACAGAATCTACGGGAGCTGGATCAAGAGTCCTTATTGGTGATATTATGACATCTCATTTAGGAGCGCCTTCACCATGGTAGTAATGAGCATTTTAATTACTATTTATTGTTATTATTATCAATCATGTTTAAATTAATAATCCAAAATAAATAAATAAATAAATACAGTGTTGAAATCAAGCTTGTAGATGTTCCATCTTTAAATTATTACAGCACTGATAAACCAAATCCAAGGGGCGAAATTTGTCTTAGAGGCGCTTCAATTATGAAAGCCTACTTTAAAGATGAAAAAAAGACAAAAGAAACTATAAATGAGGTTTGTTATCAATCAGACATTGTTCATGCATATAGATTTTAATTAATCTGGATATCATCATAGGAAGGATGGTTACATACTGGAGATGTGGGAGAGATTGATGACCGTGGCTGTCTAAAAATTATCGATAGGGTTAAAAATATATTTAAGTTAGCTCAGGGTGAATATATTGCCCCTGAAAAAGTAAGCAAAAAAAATTTTTTTTAACCATATATATGTATATATACCGTATTGTCGCGAAATAACGCGCAGGGGTGTAATTTCAAAATGTGGCCTAAATTAAGCTCAATTCGGGCCATTACTCTAAATAACGCCCATGGTCGTAATACGGTATATATATTTTTATTTATTTATAATATCACTAATTTTAAATTTTCTTTTGAAAAGATTGAAAATATCTATAATAAAGACATTTTAATATCACAAATCTTTGTCCATGGTGAACAGAATCAACGCTTTTTAGTCGCAATAATCGTTCCAAACAGAGAAATGTTTATTCCTTGGGCAAGCCAATTTGCTAAAGGTTTAGATTATGAAACACTAGTGAAAAATAATATTATTATCAATGAATTTTTGAAACGGTTAGATACAATTGGAAAAAATAAACTTCAAGGGTTAGTTTCCTTTATTTTATCATTATAGCCTGTATATTGTACCATTATTGATGCATATATATTTATTTCAGATTTGAACAAGTTAAAGCAATACACTTGGATATTGTGCCATTTTCAATCGAAAATGGGCTATTAACTCCAACGTAAGTTACTTCTGAATTTAATAATGATAATATGGATGTATTGCAAATTTCACCGGTGGAGATTATCTCTTGTAAATAGAACAGTCAATCAGATTGAGAAATTAAAAAATCTGTATTAACTCTAAAATTAAAGCGGTGATAATCGCAGTTGATGAGATTTGAATAATCGATATTATTTTTATTTATAATTTTATTTGTTTATTTATTCTATTATATTATTATAATATTTATTAAATTATTCTTTTATTTAAATGACAGATTGAAAATTAAAAGACGAGATGTAGCACAACATTATAAGAGAATATTTGATAAATTATATAATAATTTAGAAGTTAAATCAAATCTTTAATTAGGTTACAAATTTGTATGTTAAAATTTTTATTTGATCTATTTATTAAAAATTAAATATTTTAAAAATATTTTTATATTTTAAATATTTTTAAACAAGAATTGTGATTATTTTTATTTTTAAACTGTAATAAAAAAACAGGCACAGAGATTTGGGGCATGCAAAGTATGTTTTTGTTTTTTTTTATTAAACATTTGTACATTAAAAATTAATATACAAAAAATTATGGTTCTATGTCAAAATCCTGAAATTTAATTGTCGCGTCGTGTGATGTCGGGGTTCCAGCATGCCTACAATTAGTAATCATTATTACTAATCATAGGCGGGGTTTGAATGCTGGAACCCGACATAACACAACGCGACAATTAAGTTTCAGGATTTTGACATAGAACCAAAAAATTATCTAATTCTGTGTTCAAATTATAAATATTTTCAATTATTTATGCAAAATGATTCGATGAACTTTGTTTTTTTTTAATTCTTCTATTTTTCTAAAATAAAGTTTATCAAATTTATAGCTATTGAGGTATTTTCGAAGTTTGAAAAATTTTAAACATCTATCAAATAATTAACCCTAGTTGCCGCAACAGAATTGTTATGTCAGATTCTTTTTTGATTGGCTAATGGCAAAATTTTGGCCTGCATTACATAATCATTTACTAATTTTTAGCCAGAATTAACTTTTCGATTTTTTTTTTCAAAAACAGAAATTTTTGAAAACTAGACCTGCATTATGATATGATAAAAACAATTTTGGTATCTATTTAACTGAATTTTTTTTTTTTTTGTTTAAATTTTGCTACAGTGCGGGCATCTCTAAATAATATAAAAATACATCATCTTTAAAAGTTTATAAATAAAAAACTAAAATAGTTATAAATTAAATCTTTGTAAAAGAATAAAATAAAACTTAAAAAAAAAGTTACAGAGTTTATTTTTTTTTTGGTTAATTGATTTTAATAGTTATATTTTTTTAAAGTTACCAATTTTATTAATAAATTTAAATTTGATCATCTTAAGGCCATGCAAAATTAAATAATTGGTTTTCATGACCGGCCAGGTCAAAATTTGAAAATTTCTAAAAAAAATTTTATATATTTTAATAACCGGATGGGTTTTAAAATATTTTTTAATATAAATTTTAAATATGAAAGTTAAAAAAAAAAGCCAGTCGGCCGGGTCTATTTGAAAGTTTCATGTTATGAAAACCAAGTGATTAAATTTGTATAGCCTAATTTTGATTAAAATTATTTAAATTATTATAATTTTGGTCAAAATTATAAATTAATATTAATCAAAAAACAATAATAATATATATACAGTCGTATCTCTATACAACCACCTCCTATATAATCACTAACTCTATATAAACACATGATTTTGTATAGGCATTTTTTTATATTAGAAATACCTTTATAAAATTACAACTATGGTATAATTACTATTATATTTTTTAAAAATTTTTTTAGTTCAATTTATTAAAAAAAATACTTTGCTATAATTACATTTCTTTTATAGTTAAAAATACTAAATTATGATTGGTTAGCAAAAAATTTAATGATCTTTTAAAATTTTTTGATTTGTTTTTTTTTTATCTCTTATTTAGGATTAATACTATATATAAAAAACATTATGGTTATTACTATCAAGCAACATACACAATTTTTTTAAGCATTGGTTATCTATTGCTTTTTATTCTTTGCTAACTAATGTATTTTAATTTATATCTGATTAGTTGTCATCTTAACAAGCTAATATTACTTATATAACTGTCATTTCAAAAGAATATATCTAGAGATTAGAACTGGTTTTATTTTTTATAGTTTTGTTAAAGGTAAGTCTGTCTAGAAATTTTGTAGTATAACTTATTGAGATAAAAACAATATATTTGTTAGCAATAATATTTGAGTTTAGAGAGCAGTTAGTGTATAAAGTAGTGATAATAGGAGTAAAGAATAGAGCTGAGATAAGGAATTTAAAATATTATATTGCTAGTAGTTAATAAGAGTATAACTAGAAGTGTTGAATTGTCAATAGAGCATAGAGTGTTTATAAAAATGTCTAGTATTAAAACTATAATAATTAGAAAAAGGTAATTGATAATTAGATAAATAAGATATACTGTATTTAGATAAATTAATAGATTAGCTTTTAGAAAGAAAATTTAGAAAGAAGTTTTTTTCTTTAGAATTTTATTAAATCTAGAAGAAATATGTTTTTAATTTAGAAGACAGGAATTGTTAGATATAGTTAATTAATTAAAAAAGAGTATATAGTGATAACAAAGAGTTTATAATAATTTCATATTTTTTTATTATAATTTTATATATAAAAAATTTATATATAACATATTATATAACTGATAAATAATATTAAAATTAAGTAAACTTAGCTTTAAAAAAATAATTTAGTTAGTAGATTATATGAAGTTAAGAGTAAAAAAGGGTTTGGGCCTTATAGCTTAATTGTTAAGTTGCCAAACCTCCATGGAAGTTAAGTAAAAATTCATAGTTCAAGTTGGGCTAGAGGTAAAAAAAAAAAAAAAAAAACTTTATAACCTACAGATGAGGAGCCAAAATTAAACACAAAGCTCTATAGAAGTCCAAGTATAATACAAATTTGATAAAAAATTTTCAGAAAAAGATCTAACTATAGAGAGTTGGTATCATATTTAGCAAGCAGTATTATAAAAAGTCTGGGCAATAGGTTGCACATACTAATTTGTAAAGATCAACACAGATTGAATGAAGCTATATCAGGAACTGTGTAGCCAGATAAAAACTGGAGATGTATCAGGTTTTAATATATATTCAGTTTTTATTTTTAAGATCATAGCTATATCAAATACCTGATAGAGCTTTGATATTAACCTGAATATAAATTGATAAATATAAAATATATCATATAATAATTGGAAATAAATCAGATAAAATAATAGAGCTATTAGTTAATTTATATATATATAATATCTAACTTATATCTTATGATATAAATAAAGAAAATTGAAGCATATCATAATTAAAACAGATGTTTCTATAGATCTATTGAATAATTTATATGTATATGATTTTTAACTTATAATACTGATATAAAAATTGATAACTTGTACAGATTAGTAAAATATCGAAATAATGTAAAGCCTTATTAGGCAGAGTATTTCAGATAAAAACTACAGTATAACTTGTTAAACCGATACTGTCAAAACTAATAACCTGTCAAAACTGATAAAAAATTAATACACTATCTCTTAATTAAATATAGTAATTTTACTCTTCAAACCTGATAACCTGTCAAAACTGATACAAATTTGGTCTACTATGCATATCGGTTTTGTCAGGTTATTTTTTTTTTTTTTTTTTTTGATATTAAGGTGAGGTCTTGCTCATATCTTTATTGATTAATTTATATAAGCAATTATAT